GGGTGAACCAGGGTGCCGCCCGGGCTCCTTGTTGGACGAGAGCCGTCAGAAATGAAGCCAATTGATTGGCTGACAGTATTTCTGACAGTAGCGCTGTAGCGATATTTTCAAGGGTGGGCCAGACGTTGTTGTAATCAGACGGCGACAGCCGCCTCGGGTATGAATCAGTCAAACTGTGGTCATCCACTGGTCCCACTGTATACTCCTCGATGTCCTCCTATTTTTTTTATCACATCTGGGACAACCGTAGGCTGGTCGTTACTGTACTCCTTTCTGTTGGTGCGAACCCGTTTCTTCCGGTATTGAGGGCTGCCATTACCCATAGTGCTATAGTCTATCCGAGTCAGGTTCATGACCCGGATCGACCTCCGGAGTGTCGCCATTGGTGCTTAGGCTCGGTAGGATTGACCACCCGTGAAAAGAGGAATCCTGCTGATGTACTCCCGCCCGCGGCTACTTCAGATAGGGGCGACTGTATCCAGGAGTTTTTTGATGGGGTTTTATTGAGGGGTACGATTGCTGACTCAGCAACCGTTTTTCGTATGTCCTAGCCGACGTGTATCCCAGTCAACTTCCGTCTCCTGCCACTACGATGTGCCTCCAGGCGAGGGTTGTGATGGCAAAACCCTTATGGGGGTTTATTTCATTCTGCGAAGGATCCGCTATCGATCCACTGTGATTGTATAGCTTCCTTGTACGCCAGTCCGTGGTTTACTGCTGTCGTACACCTTCGTGCAGGTCCGACTGCTAATCTCCGGGCTGCTTTCCACCCTCGATGCTCTGAACCTCCAAAGGGACAAACAGTTGCTTTACAGGGGCTCAGTACAGTGCCAGAGTACCGAGCGCATTCCACTACTACGACCAGATCTTCGCCTTGTGAGCTGGCTGCATCACAGGCCAGTGCACGACTTGCTGCGCTGCTGGCTTAGGAGAAGTTAAGGGCATGGGAACTGAAGAAGACTCCTCAGAGGGCAGAATAGTGGAGAAGGACGAGGGGGACACGGATGACTGATTTTGAAAATCACATGATGCTCGAGGGGTGTGTTGGCATGGCGATGTACGGTAGGAGAAGGTATGGGGAAAATGAAGGTATGGGGAATGACTACTGGTGACGGACGTGCGGAGGTGAGGGAAGCGTACATAGAAAACGTTGACGAACTATTCCGGCCCGCTAAAGAAAAGACAGACTAGATCGTCTAAAGACAGCAGGCCATAGATGAGTCGGCTATTAGCTGGGCCGAGCTGTAGTCCATCCGAGTCGATGCAACTATCGGCTAAAAAATCGTCTATGGATTGAATAGACTATATTGCAAGTTGGCTGGACTATATTTTCTTTCCCGTTTTTCAGGCACATGGGGAAAGGAAAAGATGACTTCTGTGTGTTACGTTCCGTGAAGGAATGACTCACCACGCAGGATGGTCGTACGACGGAGCTGCGGCTGTAATTGGACATCATAACTTCCTGCGCATGTGTGCTCATTTACGCGGACATTGGCCTCTGCGTTCCCGGATTAGGCTACAATACACATCCTGCAAAGGAGTCCTCGGAGGAAAGCCTAAGCCATGTTCATTTCAGAAGAAAACGTTTTCGTTGAAATTACTGAAAATGATTTAGACATATGTAAATGCATGGAGCTTGTTGCCGATCCCGGCGCCGGTGCTATTTCGACGTTCAACGGTGTCACTCGAAACAACTTCCAAGGGAAAACGGTTATCAAGCTGGATTACGAAGCTTATGTTCCGATGGCACTGAAAAAGCTGCAGGTTTGTGTCAGGCTAAGCCGGATCATTTGAGTAAAAGCTGATTGGCAACACGAGGCTGCAATCTGCAGGAGCTTGCGCACGAGGTGGGACGCAGGTGGAATGTCTGCAAAGTTGCAGTAGCTCATCGCAAGGGCATTGTCCTCGTGGGGGAGCCTAGCGTTATTATTGCAGTCTCGTCAGCCCACCGTCGGGAATCTCTCGAGGTGAGTCGCCCTTCCTGCCCTGTCTCTCAGCTTCACCTTCTCTCCTAAAACTCCTGGAACCACCACCACTAATATCTAAATGATAAGCCCATACCAGACATGTTCCATTCCTGCCGCGGAGCGGCAGCCTCGTCGACGTGATTGGAGGATCGTCCTTAAACCCCTTCCGTGTCGTGCGTTCACCGTCACCCCGGCCTCACCCAACAGGCCGTCCAATGGGCAATTGACGAGCTCAAAGCAGTCGTGCCCATTTGGAAAAAGGAATTTTTCGAGGACGGGTCAATCTGGAAGGAGAATGAGGAGAGTCGGCGGCTGCTCCTGGCACCTAGCCAGCCGGGAACCGCCGCGGCTGCTGCGCAATGACAACCTTGGGCAGGGCACTCCCGCGCGCGACCCTCATCGAACCCCACAGGAACCTCGTTGGGAGTGACGCTGCTGTTCGGCACCGGTGGTAACTGACACAGGTGTGCACTTCCCGGCAATGCGTTGCCAGGCCGCTGCTCCGAGAGGAGCCTGTGCAATTTTGTTTGTGCTAGGAAAAGATCGACACACCTACATGAAAACGCTGGACAAAAGGAACACAACACGAATGCAGCAGCTGCTGGTGGCTTGAGAGACCATGCTGGTCATTTTCAGGATTCTGTGGTGCGTGGTTCTTCTCGTCGGTGGATCGACGTCGGCGACGTTTCCTTACCGGTTGCCGCCGGTGTGTTGCTGCATATTCTTGCGTGTAACGAACTGGGGGAGGGGGGACTTTATGCATATCGCGTCGATATGCAGTACGGCTTATGCGGCAGGAAGGGAATAATAATATTATTATTCATTAATGACGTCATCATACGCCTGCCCAGTGTCCCATGTGCTTCGTGGCCTCCTTCGCCATCGCGGGCTGCAGTACCGCCGTACCGTGTTTTCCACCGTGCCGTTTGCCAACCCTGGAACATGTGCCATAAGAAGTAATGTTCTCGGCCTGGACCCTTCGCGCTCCCCCCTCTCCATTTGTGCAGCTGCAGCAACATGCAGGCGTTGCTTTGCCTGCCGCCGGCTGCCGATGCTGCGGGGTGATGTGGTTGGATCAGTTTTGCTTCTGGAGAATGATGATGATTTGAAAGGGAGCCCGGGGGGGGACGTGCTACCCGTGTACCGGCGCGGATGCGAGATAGCCACTTATTGGCTATCCTTTCATTGACTACTAGTGTTGTCGTCATTTTAGCCACTATCCTTACCGCCGTACTATAATGCCGTACTATCATAAGTGCCAATGGGTAGCAGTTGTAGTACTAATTGTTGCTTTAGTAGTGATAATTGTAGCAGTAGTACAGCAAACAACATCTAAAGCTGAAGAGCATTGACTAGATGGGTTAGGATACGAACTTCTGGTATGAGGGGCCGGGAAATGGTGGGGCGATGCTGAGCTCGTTTGCAACGTAAGCATGGGGGCCATTGTTATATCACGACTTTTTCAGGAAAGAACCGAAGGGTGGGTGCAGATCCCGGGTGATATACCTTACAGGATACTACAATTATCCTCCCCTAATGCTTTGGTGTCACAGGACATACGTACTACAAGTTGTGTATGTGAGTGTGTCTGTCTGGCGCGAAAATCGCTTGGATATTGGTGCGGATGCTGTGTGTTTTTGTGGGTGGTTGGGACTTTGCCGTATTGCGCAGTGGCTAGCGGTGCGTGTATGAGCAGTGTATGGCGGTAATACTCCCGCGGTCGGCAGCAGGAGCAGTTGGTTTGGTGGTGGATTGAACTGCTGCAAATTCGCAATGCACCGTATTAGCTCGGACGTGTGTTTAACTGGTTTTTTTGTTTATGCGCACTTTTCGTCCGGCTATAAAATGTGTGTTATGTGGTGTTACTGACTGCTCGCCAACGTTGTTTCCTCTTGCTTAATGATATTGTGACATACATACACATATACACACATATACGCATAGCGAACGTGAATGTGTATCAGTTTGACATGCGATAGTGACGGCGACGGTGAGTTGGGGAGTATCAATTTATTACGCTGTTAAATGTATCTGGAGCCGAATCTGGAGTCTGAATCTGGAGTCTGAATCTGGAGGTAAATCTGGAGGTGAATCCGGAGGCGAATGAGGTTCCAACAACAGGAAGACTATACCAGTTTTGTGTGCGCTGAATACTTGTTTAAAGTACAGGAGTTAAAAATATAGCTTATATTCCGTCTTTATCTGTGTCCGCTCGCCTGTATATCTATCTGTCTGTCGGTTGTACGGAGATTTTCTGTCTACCTCCCTGTCGGTGGTACGGGGTTTCTAACATGATTGTATTGACTTGCATATTGCACCTGGTTGTTAGTCCTTGCAGTCGCACACGCATACATGCAGACACGTGCACATCATTTCGCGGAGAAGTGCTGCTTTTATGCGGTAGACTGCTTCGGAGTATAGGACTCTGGAGTAGTTTTTATGTACGTACGTATGTACACGCGTCCCGACGGCTTTCAGACCTGTCGGCAGATGGGTGAGTAACTGCTGTGTGAGTTTTCAAGCAGATGCTGAAACTGTTCAATATAGCAGAGAACAAATCAATCTGCAGCACGTGTCTGCAACGCCGCGGCTTCCCGTCCGCTTTCGACAACGACATCGACACGCCATGACGGTAACATATTATGGCATTATAGCTATGCGTCGTTCTTCGTTCCGCATGGTCACCTCCCAACGCATCATTGAATGAACGGGGTCTTATGACTTAAGAGAAGATAATTGCGGAAGAACAGGCAGTAGAAATAACAAGACAACAACAACAGTCGTCGTATCAGGAGCTAGGAGCATTAAAAATAATACTCATGTTATGTTCGCGTTGACATCCGAGGGGAGTTATCTGTGAAGTTCACAAAGTGTGCTTGCTCCGTTCCGATTGGCTCGTTCGTGAAGGAGCTCCTTCCTTCAAGGAGAGTTAATCCATCCGCCGCCGGGACCGCCGCCGCCGTCACCACCCCCGCTGTCGCCTCCGCGGTCCCCTCCCTGGACGAGGGCTCTGGGAGAAGCCGTGGTCCATCTGGCGTGGCGGTGGAGCCGTCGCCCATGTTCTGCCGGGGCACCGGCTTTCGCTTCGAATGTGTTGCTAACCTCGGCACCTCCGGCAGTGGGGCCGGCAAGTCGTTGTTCTCGTACTCGGACCTGCGGGATGCGGGGGGGAGGGGGGAGAGCTGTGGTGGTCGGAGGGTTGAAAGGTTGGGAGCGGACAGACCTGCGTATGGTTGTGGATGGGGATGAGAAATGGGCAGGAAGGAACATAACTACAGAACTGAGAACCAACAACAACTGACCAGGAACTAAGTTGAGGCGCCGTTGATCCGCTAGATTTGGTTGGATGCCGGTGGTGAGTTGCTGAACCCAACGAATACATTCTGAAGTCGGATGGGGTGAACGGATTAGGGTGCCCCTCTAGCAGGGGAGAGCAGGGAACTGCCTCGGGAAAGGGGGCCGCTGGTGAAGCTATACCACCCTGTAACAACATACAGTGAATAACACCAAACAACAGCGATGACGACGGGATGATAAAAGCTGAGCAAATTTACCAATCGACTCCAATTGACTTGCGTTGAATCGAATGGATTCATTCAACAATCAATGCAATTTCGCGTGTCGCCCACCAGTAGTACTTGGTTGGCGGGTGCTGCGGCGACAGAGTCTCAGCCGGCGGGCAGTGCGCCCACAGCGAGCGCCACCAGCTATCCGCGTTGGAGGTGCCGGGCGCGTAGTGGCCGCGCCGGTGCACCTTGAGCATCTGTAAGTGCAGAATACCGTCATCTGGAAATGTGCGGTAAGGGGTGGGACAGGGGGCAGGGGGCACGTGCCCCCGGGGATAAAGAGGGTATGGTAAGTCCGGAAGAGGGTGGTACGGCACGGTACGGTGCGTACGGTACGGTACGGTACGGATGCCCAAATCGAGGCCAAAGAGCTTAATGTGATATGCTATTACGGATAAACGAAGCACGCAACGTTGGTAATCAGGTTGGCAGTTGCCGGCATGAGACCCCCTGCTTGAGGGCGGGGTTGTGACTTATGACCCCTCCGGAGGACTCCCTACGCATGACGTGACTCCGAACTAATGGTCCGGGGTTGTTGGGGCGGGTTTGACATTCGTGTCACAATCTTCCATCACAATGCAGTTTAGTTCTCTCTGTATTAAAAATTTTCTAAATCTGTTCTCCCTGTTAAAACATTGTTAAAATCTTACGCCAGCCTCCCGAGTACTAGGAGGATGTTGGTCCTGCGTGTGGCCGCGATGTGGCCCTTTTTCCCAACCTTGCTGTTGTAAACAACTCGGCATTTGCGTCACGTACACAGACCTACATATACGCCTTACCGCGTGTGTGTGTGTACATGTGTGTATATGTGTTTATATGCCCCCACGTACAAAGTCAACCCCGGGGAGCTGCACGCGCATCGAGCCAACCGCGAATCCGTACCAAGGTACCAGGTGCTGTCCTCCGCCTTGATGGTGCCGTACAGGTGGCCGCACAGGATCGGCAGGTCGTCCAGGCCCAGCGACACACACACGGAGGTGGGTTTGAGCTGCACCCGGGGCCGCGGAGCCTGGGCAGCGGCGGCGGCGGCGGCGCTGATGGTGGTGGCGGTGGTGGCCTCCGGCATCCGTACAAAGACGTACACATGCGATTGGTTCTGGGTCCATTTGTACCTACATACGTATATATCGCCATAACGTAAAAAGTGATGTCGAAGTGTGGGCCAACCTTCGTGGTGGAGCCGAACTGCTCTCGGAGCGGTGTCCCTTTCCACAAGGCAACACGCGAACACCCCGCCACCCACCATCGCTGCACCGCACCTGGCGCACTCCATGCCCATGCCGGGCTCTATGGTGATGGAAGACCATGCCGCCTCCTGGCGACTCAAGAGACGAGCCTGCGAGGTAAAAGGCAGGTGCACCGAGGCGGTGCCAAGTGCACACACACGCAAGTTTATACGTACTAAGGAAGCGAAACCCTAAAGCGGTGTTACCCAATCTAAAGATGACGCCTCTAAAACCATTTCAGATTTCAGGAAAGCCGTGCAGCGGCCTCGCCCCTTGGTAGTAAGGAAAGTCGCTCCGGGGGCCCTGTCAGCCGCAGTTGTAAGATGCAGTAGCGGCAGTGCAGCAGCAGCAGTAACTGCAGTACAAGAAAAATCTTACAGCCCCCAGGATGCATGGTGGTTGGTGGATGCCGTACATTTAAAGCCGCCTGGCGCTCGCGTTCCTGTACTCGGAGCACCTCCTGGGGGCTGTACTTGGGACCTGCAACCAACCGCAACCGCAACCGCTAACTAACCAACCAACCAGCCGCAGGTCGGGCCACCGGGTATCTGACCTTGGGTTGGCTTCCAAAGTAACGTCACAACGGCCAAACCCTACAAGGACACACACACACACACACACACACAGACAGACACACAGAGACACACAGGGAGATGACTTCTTCGCATGAATTACACACAGAAGAATACACGGACCACCAAACATGCCAAAGTGGCCGAAGCGCGAATCAGGCGGGGAAGACCTGCCTTGAGGTTTTGGATCCAGTCTGCCGTACATGGCTTGCATCACATCCTCGCGGCCGGGTCCGCTGGTTGCCCGAGCGGCCCGCTCTAGCCGCTCCACCTCCACTGGTGGGGAGGAGGAGGTCGCGGAGAGAAAGATGGAAAGGAAGGTGCAAACAGGTGGGGGGGAATTGTGCCGGCATGCAGTTAGGGGGAAAAGGTGCACGAGGTGGGGGTATGGTAAGGGTAGAAAATAGCGATAGGAAACGCGATGGGAGCAAAGGGGGCCTATGAAGGCATACAAGGGTTCCACTGTTACAACCAATCCCATGGAGGGGGAGGAGCTTTAGGATAGACCGCATCTGTTGGCTGCTAATGATCTGTTAACTATGTGCGCCGCAGTGCGCCCCTCCTATGCACCTGCATCGTGAGGTGCGCTCGCCAGGGATGCAGCTGATCTTCCCAGGTCGGCCTCAGCAGGTTGCTTCGTTCTTTTATCTTTCATTTTTCTTGTAATTTACGTTCATGACAATTCCTGGTCGACAGCGCCTCAGGGTCTAGGGGCCAGCCCGGTACCCGCCCTTGGTGGCAGTGGTTAGCACGGCACGGATGCGAGACGTGTGAGGGCAAGGAAAAAAACAATGGTGCTTGTATGTATGTATGTATGTGTATATATATATATATGTGTGTGTATGTGTGTATATATAATGGGGGCCCGCCACTGCGCCTACCGTCTCTAAGAATGGCCTGCTTGCCATGCCGCCGCAGCCACGATGCGAACCGTGGGTCACTGTCCTCCATGGCGTCTGCGAACTCGTTTGGCCGGCAGCTCTGCCGGTGAAACGGCCAATAAGCCTGGACAAAAAAGCTCAGTATCGATAGGTCGGGATGGAAAACTGGGATATAGGCATCTCGGTAGTGGGAAACTGTCCGTCCGCCAAAAGGGTTGAGTGCTTTGGTGAGTGCGCATGTTGGTAACATGAAATAAAAGGTGAAAAGGGGTAAAAAGGCGCTATCCGGAGCTGGAGGTAACTGTACGGCAAGCGTTGCACTGTATGGATGTACGCTAAGCTTTGACCCAAGCAGCCGCAGCAGCAGCCTGAGGACCTGAGGATCCTGGGGAGTTCCTTCAGGCCGGGCCCGCGGACCGTGTCCTGCTCAAGACCGGTGGTGTGTTTTGTTCATTAATGAGTGTTGTACATGGGTTCGGCGAGAATGGGAGTCATTACGAGGGAAAACTCGCACCCGTCCCGTGATGTGAGCTGGAAGGTGCACGGAAGTCCTGCTTTGGTCCCTGGGCCAGTCCTGAAAATAGATGTACGTATCCTTGATGTACCGACCTTGTGACAGCCCAGTGAGCAAAACCATTCGGCACGGCAGCGGCTGCATCGCAGGAGGTCATCTGTGGCGCCGCAGTTCGCTGTATGGTCGTCGTGAAGGAGGACATGTCAAACCGGGGCGGGGAAAGGGAAACCGGGAGATGTGTGCGCACATGCGGCAAAGACGGAGCGTAAAAACGTCTGTACGGCGGTCAGCATCGCTAAGCACCGGGCACACTGTCTCCGCACGTCTGCCAATATGGATAGAGCTCAATTGTATATCGCACAGATTAACAGTTGGTAACATGTGATAAAGGACGGTTAAAATCTCGAAAGTCCAAGTCGTAAATAAGGCAAGAGATGCTCTGTAGGTTCTGTGTTCGCCACTGTAGCCAAGCTTGCACTGGGCAGATTCCCGTCTTCGATGGGAGATGGGTTTTCGTGTTTATGTTTACCAGTCGTCATGCTGACTGACGCGAGAACGTGTACGGGGATGACGAGAGTGGGCTGAACGCGGGTTCGTTGGAGCACACCGATGGATGGATGGATGACGTGCATTGGTATGTTGATTCCGGATTACTGATTACTGTGTTCGAGGCGCCGCTTGGTGGTACGGAGCAGCTGCGCGGTGAACGTACCACATTCCTTGAATGCAGGGGAATCGTCCTCGAAGCGTGCAGCCATTGCGGTTCGCGTCCAAACAGATCTTGGAATGGCCCAGCAGGGGTTCTTTAGGTCTTTCACAAGCCTCTGCCTTGTCCTCTGGCTTATCGACACAGTTGATTTAGGGGAGACGAGAAAATCGTCTTGAGGGGTGGAAGACCAGCAGCACCTCATGCAGCTACTGAACAGCACATTGTGCCAACCTTCAGATGTTAGACGGCGGCAAGTCCTGGTGGTTCTGGTGGGGGGTGCTGGCGCTGGTAGAGATCCTGGCCGTCTCCAATACGTCAGGGCATAGGAACGATTGGAGCAATAACGCGGGTCATAGTACAGTGACAGGCGGCTGTGAAGTGTTTAACAACGCGTGGGAGATGGTGCCACATGGAGCGTGTTGGAAGGGGAGAAGGGGATATGTCGAAATTCGGAAGTTTGTTGCTGTCTAGGATAGAGGCTGTGGAGTTATGTTGGGACTGCACACGGTCCGAGCCAAGAAAATGACATGTGACCCGGCGGGGCTTATCGGAGGAGTCGAACCGACTGCCCGCCGGCGCCACCTGTCAGTTTCTTGGATGTGGTTTGTGCTAGCGGTTAGTGGTGCGCTTTCGCTGCGGCGCAGTCTTTACTAGATTAATGGTGCATTGCTTGTTGCTAGTGCAAGCAATGCGCCATTAGTCTAGTAGCAGGATACTCGCCTCCCACATGCAAATGTTCGGAGATTCGCGAGCGGCCCGGGTGCAAATCCCGGATGGCGCACATCGTCATTTATTTTATATTTCCAAACACGATATCAGTTATCAGCTGGCAGAACGTCTCCAAAAAGTCAACATTTCCTGAAGGCAACAGCAGCTTTGGTGCACTGATTTAAACATACAGGTAACAGCCCTGGGTTACGGTCTGGATCCGGTAAGTAAGCGACCGCAGACATAAGTCCACATCCTCTATCCTAGTCAACAACAAACTTCCATCTTGCTTCATGTCCCCTACTTCCCCTCCAACATGCGGATGGCGGATGGCCATTCGCCGTTAAGAACAAATGCCGGATGAACGTTATGCCGGATGAACGTTATCCCGCGTGTATACTACCAACATGGCCTCATCAACTTTAAGGATTAGCTAAAGGAAGGACACTCCAAGAAGCTGCATTTATTTAAAAGCTACAGGACCAGAAGGGACAATCTGGACAATCTTCCAAAAAAAAAGAGCCATGTGTGCTAGGTCACGCTGTAGTTTCAAAACGTCGTGTGGCGTCCTCCAAATTGTTTGCCATGGAAATCAACAAGGAGAAACAGAACCACGTCCAACAAGCTATACGAGGTACAAGAAGATAAGAGTCTAGATTTGAAAAAACGAATCAGGAAAGTAGTGATTGCGTGTTCACACTTAAGGAGAGAAAAACAAATTGGGCTCTGCTCCTCATCGAGAAAAAAGTTCACGCAAGGTGCCAACATCAGAGTAGTGCGTTTGTGCGTCATCAATGCGTGCGCTGCTTCTTGATCATGGCATCCCGGAAAGACTCCACATCCTCCTTGGTCACCACGCCGCTCCCATCCGCTGATACGCGCTCACGGAGAAAAGAGCTGCGAAGGATTTGTTTCGTTTGTGATTTGGGACACAGGGTTTGCGGGTCAGGATGGGCGGGATGTGTGGGGCTGAGGTCGCGGATACGGAGGTGATGAAAAAGGGTTAGGATGAGGGAGGGCAAGGAATGTGAAGACCCCTGAACCACAGGGCTCGTGTAAAATTGCTTCACAAGTCCGAAATCCAAAGATGTGTGAGCATGGGTTGGGTCAGGAGGCGCGGCCGACAAGAGGGAAAGGAAAGATCGCGGGAAGCCATAGAGGGTGCTGAGCAAAGGAAAAGGTATGTGCGGAAAGCGCCTGTGTACTATCAGTAATAATGTCCCTCGCTCCAGTACCCCACCCAGCACCAATACAATCCATCAATTGACGTCCGACACCCAAACGGAGCACCACGACGAGTCAATCAAATTGATACTGACACAAACGCCAGCTGACTGATGTCCGCTCCCCACACACACATGCACGCACACACAAACCATGCAGGACCCCGCTCGCCTCCAATCCCCCAGGTCGCCCGGATCCACACATGCACGAACTAACCTAACGAAATTAGTCCGCTCACACCCACAAAAGCTGCCAACACTACCTGCATCACCTGTCCAGCCCCCGGCCCCGACATGTCAAGTACATCTCAGTCCCCCCAGGTCCTCATCAGCCACCTCATGGGCCATATTTCCCCCAATCCCCAACCCCACCACCCACATGAGGTGGTCTGCGAAGTCTCTAAAGCCCGCCGCCACCGCGATGCGCTTGCTGGGTTCCATGGACTGCAGGGCCTCCTGCTCGATCTCCTCCAAGCTGCGGCCGCCCAGCTGCCGGCTGCGTTACGAGAAGAAAGGAAAGGAGGCGAGGTGTGTAATACTGCACATATGTTACACCACGGGGTGTGTGTGGTAAGAAAGGGAAGGGGCGGATGTCGCGTATAGGAAACGAGGGGCGAGGCTCTACGCGGGGCTTCGCCGCGACATGGCGGCTCCATACTGTCCTGAAGCGCTGAGTCCTGCCTTCCCCATGCGCCATGTCATGTCACCACAACAACACGCGACGCCGCACCTCACCCTCTTGCAGCACGCCGTAGCACAGTGCATCACGTCGGCAGCTATGACAACGGGACAGGCCGGGAAGCGGTAGAGCCGCCCCCGGCAGTTTGGAGCCCCCAACCCAACCCAACTCACTCGCCAATGCGACGTAGGTCATCCATCGTGAGGAGAGCCTCGCCGTCTGCCCCCTCCTCGCCATCGTTCTCCTTGGTGGATTGGCAGAACACAGAGCACCGGACGGCGTGTGTGTATGGGACCCACCATCCGGTAGGCGACATTGTGCGATGGGCGCCCTGCCTCGTCCCTGGCGCCTTGTCGGCACCGTTCTGCCACTATATGTATGTATGTATGTATGTATGTATGTATGTATGTATGTATGTATGTATGTATGTACTGACCATTCGAGTAAAGCATTTCATTCTAAGCACGCCTACCCCATCATCATCATCATCATCGTCGTCGTCGTCGTCATCGTCGTCGTCGTCCCAGGTGTCACCTTCGCGGCGCCACGTCAGATCCTCCGTTTGGTCCAGCTGGTGTAGCGTGTCTGCCAGGCCAGCACAACCAGAAGTCAAGAAGAGTAAGGGGGCAGCGGCCGCAGGTGGAATGTGGCCACTTCATTAGGCTTATTCACGAGGATGTTCATAAGGAGGTACTCTCAGGGTTGGTTTTACCCACCTCGCCTGATAGCGTGTGAGGTGGTCATGGGGTGAATTATCAATTAGGGAGCAGGGATGGATACTTCATTCATTCGCTTGGAGAGGTTAATTATCGCCTTTCCTTCAGTGCGCCCTCTGGGCTTAGGGAGACCCCAGCCGCGAGTGATGTCAGCAGGGTTGAGGCAAGCCGTTGGGCAGGCAGTTCGAGCCAAGGAGGTGTTAGCTGAGGGGGAGATTGTCAGTTGGGGGCAGGCGACATGTGGGGAGAAGCCTGGGGCGTCCGCCTCCCCTCAGGCAGTCAACAAGGACAGCGGGCACAACGGCGGCTTACGTGCTGCGGTGAAGACCACGTGGCCGCGCTCCTGCTCAAAATCGCCATGAGCATCGTACCTGTCGTACAACATGGCATGCAGTGCTGAGAGGAGGAGCGCCGCTTGTGGCCGCGAGAGCAAGACCCGAGGGCCATGGTCAAAGGAACTTCATGCTGCGGAAAGAGGACTCATGTCGTAGACTTCTATTCACATCGGTGGTTGCTCGGAGATGGAAAATTTGCTCGGCGAGGGATGGTGGACGGCATCGCAGGTTGACACACATGCCTCGGGTTGAGGGTCCCTCGTACTTACAATATCTCGTACACAGGCGCGCCGGGACGCTCTGTGACCTGCTTGTCACTTAGGCCCACCAGAGTAGCGCCCCACCACTGCAGATTGGGTCCCGATTTGGCTCCAACTGTTAGCCGGGTTTTTTCCTGGCAACGCCGGAATACCGCCGGAATACATACATACCCGGTAGTAGGCCTCGCCCTCATCCGGCTCAACTTGCCATTTCACCTACATAACTCCCAGTACCAAAGATGCGTTGCTGCATGGTGGTAATTTCCCTCTGGTGTTGTTAGCAGCAGCAATTACCTCGACCCGGCTACCGAATGACAGTCCAGCGTGCTCGAGCATAAAAGAATCCGTTTTGTGTTCTTCATTTTCAGCAGGCTGTTGCTGTTGCGTTCTCGTGTCGGCCTTCACTGGCTCAACATCCAACGGCACTGGATTAGCCCAGGGCAGTGCAGGTTCTGACATAATCCAAGTTGTTGGAGGGAAATTCAAGCTGCTTAAGACTCCAGCTCAGGACAAACGTAATTCGTGGCGGACCAAATTCAAACCAGGCTGTGTACCTGCGGTTAGACAGTTACAAGGAGGTGTGACATCCTTCGCAAATTAACTACCTACTTTAGGGATAGAAGTGTAACTCTCAAATACGGCAAGACGCGGAGCATGCGGTGTGCGATGATTCGTCATCACGACGCGCGCGGAAAGGACTAATGAGGAGTTTTAATCTTTCCAATAAAAATTTCTTGCATGGAAAATTACATTTAAGCATCCTATTTTTATGCTTCAAGAGCTCCTAATGCTAACAAACCTAAACAAGGCTTTTCCTGGACCCATGCTTTCAGTGACTACGAATGTGGACGGAATCGTCGCTTCTGTGTCTAGTTTACCAAGTATCCAGGTCGTTCCTGCAGTCCTGGGCACGTCCTGATACTAGTCCTGAGTACCAGTTCGAGTGTAGTTCGGTCAGGTCTACATGTTCAAAACCTTTGCAACAGATCAACGAGAACCGTTTAGTGACAAGGCGACTTTCATGACCCTCCAGTCTTCCTTCTCTATTGCTGATCTGCTGCGGACAGCTACAGGTGGTTAATTAGGAATGCGTGGTAATCTTCCTTTCGTTCATGTTTGCACACCACCCCCGTAACCACAGAAAAGGAGACTAAAGTGTTTCTTACATTTGTGGTAAGCGGGCAGCGGACGTCCGGAACTGCAGAACCTGGGCAATCATACCATCATGAATCCTGCCGCCAACAAGAACACCATAAGCTGTTTTCCTAGCTGCCCCATTTGCAAGTTTTCAACCTCGCCGGAGTAACGCGCCACGGCGCAGCCTTAGCATGCAGTACTGCGATGCACAGCACTATCGAAGCGCACTCTGCGCAAACAGTAGCGGAGCAGAAGCGTAGGGGCTGCCCTCTTGCCTCTCGCCTGATGCATCCTGCAGGCTTTGCTTTTTTGACAATGTAAGCAAGCTTTTTTTGCGCATATGGAACTTCAGATGAGGTCAGCGACGTTCGAAGGCAGCTCCTCCACCACGGTGTTGTAGAACCGCTGGATGTCCTGGAGCATACGCTCGTCCTCCTACGAAGGCAAGGGATTGAGGAACCACCTTGGTCAGAAGCACTTGCATATGCAACTTTACACCAGCCCAACAGTGCGTGAAAGCCTCTAATTGTCGTAAGCTGCTTTGGTTGTAAACGTTGAAGTGGGACATCAACGATTGGAGCGACAAATCCCATATACCGTCCGCATACGGTTGTTTTCATTATTACGAAAGGCTACTTGCAAACAGCGGCACTGCTGTCAGTGCAGACCCGAGGAACGCAACCCAGCTACCTACCTTGACGATGAAGTTAATCGCCACACCCTTGCGACCAAAGCGGCCCGAGCGACCAATGCGGTGCAGGTAGTTCTCCGGCTGCGTTGGCAGGTCGTAGTTGATGACCAGAGAAACCTGCTGCACGTCGATACCGCGAGCCAGCAGATCCGTGGTGATCAGCACACGCGATGAGCCGGAACGGAACTCCCGCATGATCACATCGCGGGCATTCTGCTCCATGTCACCGTGCGTTGCCGATACGGTATGATCGCGCTCGCGCATCTTCTCCGTTAGCCAGTCGACCTGCGATTGAACATGTGAAACGCGTGTTGCAAAGAATCCCGCAGCGTGCATTAGTTGGTGCAGGGCCGCCATCGCATACCAATGTGTCCCATAACAACATATTATTCATTAGCTAGCTTCGCAACACTCCTCATCCTACCTTGCGGCGCGTGTTCGCGAAGATGACGGACTGCGTAATGGCCAGCGTCTCGTACAGATCGCAGAGAGTGTCCAGCTTCCATTCCTCCTTGTCCACATCCACATAGAACTGCTTGATACCCTCCAGGGTCAGCTCATCACGCTTGACCAGAATGCGCACCTACAAATGGCGGGATGCACTAGGTATGATCCCTCTTCTGAGGCTTTCTAGCCATACATACTTAGCATCCATGCCATACGTACTTAGCATCCATGGAGCAAGCTTCTCCATATTTGCAGTAGGCAAAATCAGCCAAGCGTGCCCCTAGTTCAGGATAACTCTATAGGACACCAATAACGCACTTGGAGTGAACGTCCCGAAACAGCTGCCATTGGCCTTTTCACCACCCTACCCACAATTGAGCTAAACAAAATTTTCGGGTTTTCCAAAAAGATGGACCACCCAACACCAAGGACATTACAACTCACCGGCTTGTTCATGAACTTGCGGGTGATCTCCAGCGCCTCAGGGGGCAGAGTGGCTGAGAAGACGCCCACCTACAGCGCAGAGGTATAGGGCCAAGTCTGTGTCGCCGTAACAGCAACCATGCACCACGCATTAAGCGCATACCGCCAGACATGAAGGTCAGGCTAGGAGAACCCCACAGCACCGCTGACCATCTGCGAGTTCTCACGCAGCCCAATTTCAGGAATGAAGCACTTCAACTAATTGGCGCTGGCGCATCTTCCGTCCCAGGCTGGAACAGACTTATGGACTCCTGGATATACGGCCCCTGCCATGTGAACGCCGCCCTCTGATGCACTGCCTGCCAGCATATCTCAAGACACGCCTCCACGACGCCGCTGCTCTGCGCAGCTACTATCGAAAAGCTGCTGCATCCGCATGCCACCTGCTGCTGCTGGAAGCCGCGTCGACTGTAGCGGCTTCCCCTCGACCTGTCATATCTTCCCCAGGTTATCGCTTCAGCCCTGTGCTCAGCATCCCTTTGCTCGCAATCCCTGGCGGCTGTATTCCCCTGTGCCGGCTGCTGTATCCCCCCCCGCTGCAACCTGCACCGAGCTCTCCTCCTTGCTCGCCCACCTGCAGCTTAGGCGGCAGCAGCTGGAAGATGTCGTAGATCTGGTCCTTGAAGCCGCGAGACAACATCTCATCGGCCTCATCCAGTACGAACATCTTGATGTTGTCCGCGCGCAGGTACCGACGGCGCAGCATGTCGAACACGCGACCGGGGGTGCCCACCACAACCTGCACACCTGCACCCAAAATGCGCGCGTCCTCACGCACGCTGGTGCCACCGACGCAGGCGTGGCACTTGACCTGCAGGAAGTCGCCCAGAGCGCGCATGACCTTCTCAATCTGCTGAGCCAGCTCGCGGGTTGGAGCCAGAACCAGCGCCTGGCACTCATTCAGGTTGTAGTCCAGGTTGTTAAGAATACCGGCGCAGAAGGTGGCCGTCTTGCCCGTGCCAGACTGAGCCTGCTGAATCACATCCAGGCCCTTGGTGAAGGGTACGATACCCTTTGCCTGAATGGCCGAGGGCTTCTCAAAACCTGGCCAGACGGGAAGGGAGTGCGTGGTTTAAGACAGCGGACAACGCTTGAGGTGCTCGAGAGCGTGCATAACAGCCGGCTTCAAAAGGAGAAGCGTATGTAGTCAACAACCTAGCGCCAACTCCAAACGCTGCACGTAGCACCACCCATCCACACGCCCGAGGGATGGCTTTTAGCACCGTAGACAAGTGCAACACTTTGTTAACGCATAGCTATGTTCACTTGCTACATGGACAGTAGGAACAAATGTAGGACCCGGCATAAGCTGGCTAGAGCTTCGTAACAAACGATGGCCAAAGCCAAGAAAAGACCCCAAGGAAATCGCCTTCCAGTGTGAAGGCTATAATTGTGAACACCCTGCCCTTCCTAACAATTTTGGTTTGCAAATCCTTCGCCAGCAGCATTGCCGAAGTGCCCATGGGGCGAACCCCTGTTCCAGGACACCATAATGTTCCACGCCCTATTAAATCTATAGTACATGCTGTGGTTTGGGCTGTAGAACACACCGTATGCGTAGATGCCACGCAGCAAGTTCTCGTGCAGGTTCATCTGGTCGAAGCTCTCAAAGCTCTCCTCCCAATCGGTGTAAAAGTTATCCTGGTTGTTCGTGAGGCTGTTCACGGAAAGGAGAAGATTTAGACACAGTCATGCCGAAGACAAAGCACCACCTAGAGCCCCATCCCTCAGGGCGGCGGCAACTCACAAGGCCTGCATCTTCGAGTCGAAGGCGCGGTCATCGAAGCCAGTACGTTGTTCAACAGGAGGGGCAGCCATGCTTGCAGGTTTGCTCTGTGCGCAAAGGGTCCTCGGTAAGTGAGACGGCGCTAGAAGACAATTGAACTAAGTGGCGGGCTCACCAAATAGGGCTCTCAGGCCCGTAAAACGAAGGCAACGAAAATCTTATAAGAGCAGTTATGGCCCGCTTTATCGCAGGGCCGGAAGAGGGGACCCTTCGGGAGGACACACCAATTTACCCCGCCCCCTGCACACATAGCTCCAGGGAGACCCCCGCTGACGCTTGGGCACGCACGAAAACCAGGCTTAAGATATTATTTATAAGCTAGTTTCCTATTCTTGTATGTACGCGAAGTTGTTGGCCCCAGCGAGGAACCATTTTTTAACTCTTAACTCTCCGTCGTTATAACGCTAGTGTCCGTCTCTATCGTTCGGGCTTATATGTCACAAGCTTTTCCTTTCGGGATGCAGCGGGTGTGTAGTCTTCTGTTTATGGACATCTGGGCTGCTGTAGTCTGGGCTACTGTAGTTACATCCTTTAGTTGCTTGAAAGGCACGTAAACCCGGGGAGTTTCTGCCAGCGGTCAGGGTGTCCCCTTAAAACAGTGTAGGTTCAAACGATATGCATAGAACATCGAACTCCTGCTCAGCTGTTGCCTCTGGGCAACCAAAAAATTGCGTAGTATGGCGCTCCTCGGCGGCACGTACAGACGTACTGCGGCGGACGCCCCGCTATAGCACTTAAAACCCGCCTGCGTGCTTGCACCCCCAAAAAGCGTGTGGATGGAGCTGTACTATAGGCTTGCTTTAGCCATAGATGTTAAAGAAGGTAGCGTCTCGGTCGGGGTGGCAACCGCTTTTGGTGAGAGCATGTCCAGCAGGCAAGGTGAAGGCGTGCCAACTCGGCTCAGCAGGATATGCCTCGCAGGGTTTTGACAACAGAAGATGACTTGACCTGACCAGTAGCAAAGAGACACCATTAAACCTCGGGTCATTGGGTCACAGCCGCCGGTCCTAAGACCCCTCCTGGACATATATCCGGTTTGGCACATAGCGCTGTAGCCATCGACACGACCCTGCCTCCATACCGGCCTGCATACCGGACCACAGTGATTGAAGGGCCTAAGACACCCTTACAAGGCGCGGAGCATCGTTCTTCCACAGTGCATCAGATAATGAACAACCTATACTGCTCCTATGTAGCAGAAGCAAGCCAGGATAGGACACGTTCGGCGCCTCTAGCTTGCCTTCGACCTTATGAATCCTTCCTTTGCAGTTCAAGCTTCCGTACATGGCGAGGGATACAGGCAGAGGGAGAGGGAGAGGGACAAGGAGAGATGTTACATGTTGTACTGGCCGTTCTGGCCAGCAGCAAACATGTGTCCCCCCACAACGGATATCCGTGAAGGGACACACATGCGACCAACAAGGAGAAGTCCGTTACTGCTATATTTCCGTTCGCGCCTTCTTGCTCCTACTTATCGCGTGATGGTGCGGTTAGATCATCTGCCAAGCCCATCCAATTACGCCAGGTTTCCAATTACCCTCTCAACCGACAAACTCCGGGAATTCCCGTGGATTCCTGTCAGTATCACTCCGAGCACAGTTCGCTAACAAACGCCCCCGAGACTCCTCAAGCACGTCATCAAACGAGATTTCTAACTGCAAAGTTGCTCTTGCCTTATCCGCATTCCTAATATCACTGTGCTGCTTGGAGTCGTATCCCAGCGATCCGAGAATACGATGACACTTTCCCGCCCCAAAATACTCGTGTCCATTTGTCAATATTAATTGGACTCCCAACCAAGCCTGTGTGTCCACCCCTAATATTGCCCGCGCCCCAGAGTCGCATGCCAAACTCCGTCCTGTCAGTTGACAGTTACATCCTGAGCAGGCGACCTTGATGCTTGGTCATACGAAAGTGCCGTTGTTCACTCCGGATTTGCTTAGAGCGGGATAATACAGAGCATAAAACTGCATCGATTTCAGAGGTGTGAGTTCTATAGTAACTATAGAAGGGAACTGTTCCCATCCTGTCTTTATGTCTGTCTTTGTCGGATTGCAGTGAAATTGAACATTGTAACCCATCCTCTTGAAGTATAGCTTGTGGAAGGGACGGCATGGTGGGGAAGGGAAGCATCGCCGCACCAGCCTGGAAGGCGTTATTGGCAGCCTCTACCACTTCTATTGAAAAGTCACTCGATGACCGAGCGTCGCTTATCAAGCCTTTGATATCCCAGATCCAAGCCATTTTGGACGAGAACAGCGGCCAGCCGGCGGGATCTCAGAAGCTGTATACTGCGCTGGCAATTGGCACACTAAATACAGCCATAGCCGGACTCGACAGGGACAGTCCCAATTCTTATTGGCAGCTGTTGGCCATAAACGATGTGATTGTGGGAAGCGATCGCCGCCTGGCGCACACCCTTGTGGAGCATCAGTTTCTTAACTCGCTCTGGCGTCTTCACGACAAGTAAGAAAATCGCATGGACATAAAAGGATTGGGAAACTGCAAGAATTGGTGGGCATTGCTGTGCCCCGGCGACCAACCCTCACGGGGCTGCTGCAGATGGTGGTGCTACCGCCAGCTAACAATCCGCCTTGCCTTCTCCTCCCATGCCATCAACACATGAAGCAAATCCAAATTCGGCATAACCCTATTTCCCCAAATTCCCCAGAGGAGCCCCGTTCCACCTGCGAAAAGAACGCCCTGTGCTGTTTGTGCTTCGACCTCCGCACATCTCCCTAGGGTCGGCAACATGTCGCACCGGCTAGCACAGGCCGTGGTGATGATTTTTTGTTCCGTCACTCTGTCCGCCGAGGGCGCGGCGGGCAGCATGGAGACTATCGCCGCTAAGCCTGAGCTTCTGGAGCTGCTCATGGCGCAACTCACCTTTCTGGCCGTCGCAACGGACGTGCTGCTATCACCCACGGGACTGGGGACTGCACAACGTTGCCTCCAGACCTGCTGGGAGCTCACCCGCGCAGCCACCCCCAAATGCCGGGAATTTCGGGAGAAGCTGCAGCAGGCGCACATGGCCGGCCGGGCGCTGCAAATGGCCGCCGCCGCCACCGTCGGACGCAGCGACGCCGACGGCGGCACTGACGTCAACGCCACGGCAGCAACAGCGGCCATCAGCCGCGTTGCAGTGCTGGAATCCCGGGGCGGCGGCGACGGCACAGATCCAGCCACCACGAGTACCGATGCTTCCGCAGGCCCCGGCGCCATGTACGACAATCTGTACGAGGACCGACTATCCCTGGCAGCGCAGGCTTGCAGCTTTGCCGCCAACCTTGCAGGACTGGGCACTCGGGGTATCGAGCTGTCGGCTGTGGGCTTGGCGCCGCAGCGCGCATGGCTACTGAAGCCCGGCACGCTGTCGGCGCTGCGGGAGCCCCTACAGGGCCTCGTGGATGGGTTGGCAGAGCTCAGACGGCGCATGGAGGTGCAGGGCCCGGAAGCGACGGACCGCTCTGACACTGACGACCTGCGGCCCGGGCCCGTGCCTCGGAAAAGGTACACAGCTCCCCGCGTTGCGCCTGGCCATGCCATGGCACTGTAGGGGGGGACAGACACGTCTCGTCCTTTACGGCCATGCCCAGGAAAGGCAGGTGCATGTTTGCGTTATTCGACAGACGACGAGTACGAAAGGGCTTACCGTGGTTGAAGGGCTTACTGCGCGCCTTCCACATGCCGCTGCGGCATGTGACATGCGTTCCGCACAGCGGTGATCCATAGCCGAGCCGCATAGCCGAGCCGCACAGCGCCGATCCAAAAATGTTCCCTGAAGGTGCTTTCGTGTCAAGAATGTGCGCGCGGGGAGCGGGGAGGGGCCCTTTCCGGCTGTCATCCATTCATTCATTCCAGTGCCGCCGCCGGTGCGCACTGCGCCGTACCTTCTGCACAGGCTGCTGAGCCAGGTGGAGGGTGCCATACGCAACTTGCTCGTCCTGTTGGGCCTACCCACCATTGTGATGGGGAGGGGAGAGGAGGACGTGGTGGAGTCGTGCGGGTTCGTCATCCGGCATAGCTTTGGGCTCTTTACGGGTGAGTGATGTTGGCGGAGCCGCCAGCGATGCGGGAGTTCCTCCGAGTTGAGCTGTGATTTGGTAGGGGAACCTTGCAGCGCAGCAAGAAGCAAAGAAGAAGGCATGGCCCCTGAAGGAGGGCTGTCTGGTTTTGGGGGAACGGAGGAAGAAGCGCCGGGGACCGCGCGCGAAGCCAGACGCTGTTGGAGAGCGTTCAACGACACACTTATTGCACCACTGAAATCTGAGAGACAGAACAAAGATATACATGTAACAGTATATTTGTATATCTATAAAAGGTAATATCACGTATTATTATAATTTATAATAATCGTTGTTTATTGTCATGAATTAAATACATGGCAGGACACAAACTCACAGCTACACCAAACGTCGCTGCCTACGTACCATCCGGGCAAGGCAGCCCTTAGCAGCCATCCGCCCATCTCTTACCACCTGCCACCCAGTGCAGCGACCACGAGCCAAACGAATCACGACGGGGGCCTCCCCATGGGGCCTAGCCCACACCCTAGCCCACACCCCAGTCCACACCCCAGTCCACACTTCGTTGCACCCACCATCTGAGTTGGTTCCCCCCGCAGAGGGCTATGTGGACACCATGCGGGCATTACGGGCCGCAGTGGCCGAGCCCTTCCCGCCGGGGGCGGCCACAGCCCCGGGAGGGGCTCAGAGCTTCACCGCACGCTATCCAGGCGACTACGGGCAGTTCTTTCGGGCGTTCGCGGGCCATATTGAGACGGTGGCTCCCGCGCTGGGGGTGCAGCTTGAGGACTGGGGCGTACGGTTCACGGGCGAGCAGGCGGCACGGGACCTGCCGGGCATGAAGGTGAGATCTTGGCTACGGATCAGCTGGGGGAGGGGGGCATGGGCATGGAGGTGGTGGTAAAGGTGGATACCTCGGACATGCGGGTAAGTCGGTGGTGCAGTTGGTATGGAGTTGAGTCCATGGACCGTTGGGGGCAGCGGGTGCTTTGGACGCGGCCAGCTGTACAAAAGCCTCATGTGGTACCCCATGGTTTAAATCTTCGCAGCTAATTAACACCCTTTGGTCTAATAACCTTTCATAACCAAATCAACCGCCCCCAAATTGCACTTACATTACATACATACGCACGTACGCACGCACGTACGTACGTGCAAAGGTGGGCGAGGGCGTGGACGCGCGCATCGCTCAGTCGTGGTTGAAGGACCAGATCCAGCAGATTATCAATTGGGGGCACTCCATGATGATCATTGTGCGCATGGCTGATCAGACGAAGATGGAGGCATTTCAGCAGCAACAGCAGCAACAGCAGCAGCAGCAGGGCTCATCTGGTGGCCTGGACCCATCGCTGCCGAAGCCGGCGGCACCGCGGCCCTACGGGGCATCTGCGGCAAGTGGTGTCGTCGCAGGCAAGGCAGGTGCGGGCCCGCCGGCGGCGGCGCCGTGGTGCGCCAGCTGCGGTACTGCACCGCAGTCGGGCGGTACGTCGTTGCTTTGGTGCAGTCGGTGCCGTACAGTACGGTACTGCTCCCGGGCGTGCCAGGTGGGCCATTGGTCACAGCACAAGGCCACATGCCAGGCCACGGCGGCGGCGCCAGCAACGGCAGCTGCGGCGCCTGCCGCGGTGGCGGAGGGCTCGACGTCAGAAGTGGCGCATCAGGAGATGCAGGGCGCTTGGGGACCGGTAGCGGTAGCGGTAGCGGCTCCTGCTGCTGTAGAGGAACCCGCGGCGACAGCGGCGACGGCGGAGGCGGATTTGGAGACGGGGACAGCGGAGGCGAGTGAGATGAGGCTGCCTGGGGCTGCTGTGCAGGGCGCGGGCGAGGACGCGGGCGCTGGAGGTGTCGACGCGCGGTGCACGGCCGCCGCGACGACCGGGGACGATGTAGGGGATATCGCTGCGGCTGGCTCACTACCACTGGAGGATGCGGAAGCAGCTGTGAGCAATGCGGAGGGTGAGGGGGACAAGAAGGGGGAGGGGGATCCGGGGGGTCGCAACGAGGCTCCTGAGGCGCCGTGAAGGCAACAACGGGGCCGGGGGGGGAAACTTTGGGTTTGGATTTGGATTTGGGTTTCGCGCTGTGGAAAGCTATTGGCTGGGACGGGGCGAGTTCTAGGGGGACTGTTTCTGTTTCGGGTTTTATTGCGTTCGTGGTGTTTTTCTGGTGGAGTTTGCGGTGGGGCGGTGTGGGACGGAGGAGAGGGGCGGACGTGGGTAGGACATGCAGGGTGGTGAAGGGCGAAGAGGGGGTGTTGCGTGTCTCCCGGGCTATTGATCCGCTGGGTGGCAGCTGGGCAGTGTGCGCAGCGTTTTGGCTCACCCACTCGCGTATTGAGTCAGCCGATGTCGTGTGTGCGGGGGGTGTTTGTGGGGGTGTGGGGGGTGCATGTGCTTGTGCGATCTGAGCCGGGGGCAGGAACTGGCAAGGATGCAGCGTCTGTCTGTATGTGTGCATGTATGTGTAAGTATGTATGTATGGGTGTAAATTTGTATGTATGGGTGTATGTGTGGCCTATTTTTGACGACAAAGAAATATCTACAGCTGTGATAGCACACGCCCACCCAATGCACTTCCTGCGGCAGCCTTTACCCGCGACACAAGGCCGCGATGCCCCTTGGGTAATTATGCAAAAGTATCATCACTTGAGCCACCTGCATCGAGGATTAAGGCTATTGCTACAGTACAGCTTTAGCCAGGGCTATGGCGGTGGCGGTGGCGGCTAAGGAGCGGTCTTCCTCCGCGGTCTTGGCTATGGGGATGTTCGGAGGCGATCCAACAGCATACGAAACACACTCTCCAGTCCAACCTTAACATCATCATATTCAAAATACGGTTCCCTTCCCGACGACTACGTTGTCAGCGCGGTACAGTACGGCGGTACGGTACGGTACGGTCAGCAATGACAGTGATGATTGATGGCAACGGTAACCAACACAACAAAAAAGTGGTGAGCGACGCTTGTATACGCCCCGCCAGGCATAAGTGGTCCAGGGGCCGCGGGCCAACAGGCGAAGAGGAGGCAGCTAACCTAATTGTTGGCCGCTGGCACTCCTATCCAAATGGGAATATTTCCCCTCCTGTTTCCTAAGCACACACATACACACACCGTTACAAATGGGCTGATGAATATGGCGATGAGCCACCAGGGTATTGTACACCTCTTCTTTTACCCCTCCCCCTTCTATTCTCTTTCCTCTCCCCTCGATAAACAATCGGAGGGCGCCAAGTTGCCCAAGGAGGCGCCTGAACATGGTCCTTCTCACCCCCCCCAACGGCACTGTTCACCAAAGCCCTCACTTCTCACAATCTCTTTCACGACCATTGTCTCAACATCATTGTCATCATCACATCGCACCGTACTTTCTGACACGAAATTCTTCACACACATACATACAAACACACACAAAGATCTTTTCGTTCCCACAGCAACGACGTCCGTCATTACACAGCACCTCGGTGCTCTGCCCATTTTCCAGCTTCCAGAGCTCTTCAAGTTCATGTGCATCTTAAGAAGGCTCGTGTAGTACAACAGGGTATGACACCCCACCGAAGCTAAATACAGCACCGTCGGGCCCCCATCCGCGCTTCTCCTCCACCTGCTCGCCGCACTGAGAGCCTTCGGAGCTAGGGTAGGATACGGTAGGACGGTTGCCAGCCGTAGCTTTGGACTCCTACCGTCGCGTTGTGCGAGGGCGTGATGGAAGCGTGTAATAGCTAGTACAAAGTATAGCACACATAACAAATACATATATGTGCTAAGCGCTCCACCAGCATCTTGAGAGGCCTTTACAGCGGCCAGCTACTACAAAACGTCCGTGGCGTGATGGAAAAGCCCCTGTGATTCAGGGTCGCGACTCGTGAGTAGGTATTCCTTGATGTACGGCCCCGTGGAAAAAGTGCAGTGCCTGTGTCGGTGACTGTGTCTGGCTGCTTCCCATCGTACGACATGGGGCCCCCCGGTCCGCCCCATGGGGGCTTCAGTGGGGTTCAAGTCCCACATTGATCGAGGTATGTGGTTATCCGATTTGCTCATGCAATGCATCCCGTGTCCAATTGCTGTTCCATGCCGATGTTGTAGAACATCCTGTTGACAGTGGGACACGTCACGCGATCAACTTGCATTGTATTTTCACAACGTGCTAGTCTTCAATATGGTTAAAAAATAAATGTGTTCCACTTGTGTACCAGCAGGTTATTGCTCCAGCCACTTTACGCTGTCAGGTTGCAACCTTCCTGCGCCTTTACTTTTCATTTATGTAGGTCCATGCTCACTTTCTTATGACCATTAAGCCTAACAATTAACTCACCTGTGCATCGGATCCCGATGAGCCTGCACGAGTTTCTCCACCATTTTCCTTGCGCATTCTGGCCTTGATTTCCGTACTGCTGTTGTTCCAGTCATATGATAGAAATGATATTTCCGTACTGCTTGCGGTGCGATGACCGATAAGTTCCAGTTCCCTGGTTGTCCGACAGGTTCCAATTTTCCTTGCGCGTACGCCTGCATCCTTAACATAAAGCCTTTCAGATGCCCACTTCTTCCATAATTTCAGACCCTGGTGCTGTACGTCTAAGCTTAATTGGTTGATTGGCACTTAAACGAAGCTGTGTTAAAACCTGTTATTACGAGGCTTGCGCGACGAGGCGGTCCGTTATGTAAACTGCTCATAGTAGGGGATTATCTTAAGAAGTTATTCATTCAAGCTAATGATACGTCGAACCAACAAAGTAACAGGGTGTTTCCACTTGGCGTATCACTAAGTTATACTTTAAGTTCAGGAAATCTCGCTCCTGGCACAGCGAATAACCCGTCTGATGAGGTATTAGTCTAACACAGTAATAAAAAATACGAAATTCCTAAAACGTTCGCGTAGCATGGTCCCGTACGCGGAAAGCCGAAGCCCCCAGTGGTAACATCTCGCTGCATCTCGTACACTAAGTCGATCAATTACCTGTTTTATGAAACTAGGCGGACGACCATCGCCATATCATCAAAGAAGACTACTTGTATATATTGTACGACTTTTGGGGTTATTTTCCTCGGCTAGCGGGGATCGGAATCAGGAGGGCCGGCATGGGGACTTGGTGCATATGAGCATACATGCATCCACATCCAGGAATCCGCATCTAGGCATACGAGGCCTCAGGCGCGCACGGCGCCCGGTTCGACGGCTACCGGGCTCGCACGGCGCGTGCTTCGACGGCTACCCGATGCCTGTGCCGGGACTGCTGCGTCTTACCATCAAGTCATGAATGCGCGTCTTTACACGGTGAATACTGACACATGACGCGCTGGCTTGTTCAAACGCGCGGCCGTTCCCGTTTGCATGTCGCTATCTGACCGCATGAGCCTGGGCCTGCTACGTGAGGGGCCACCGTGGCCCTCCTGCTGCTGCTGCTGCTGCTGCTACGACTGCCGAGGGTGAGTACCTTGCAACTGCTTGCAGATGTGTACGACAAAGGTATTGAAACGTGTGTACGACATGGATCGTGCGGTATTGCCAAAGGAAGGACCCCGTGCACGGCTGGGGTTGCGGCAGAGGTGAAGGCATTGCGGTGGAAATGTGCATGGTGCTGGTGGCGGCGGAAGACGTGCTGGACATGGATAGGGTGGCTTTTTTTTATCTGCCCTCTGGGGGCTGTTGTGGGTTCGGTTCCCAAAATGATCGAGTGTGACGCGGCTCGTGTAACTCCTTTTACCCACCTGCAGCCACCGCAAGCTGCTGACGGAAGAAATCCGACCAGACAGGTCGTGGGTGCGTATTGCACGGGACATGTTCCAGTTGGAGATTTGAACTGAGCTTGGCGGAAAAAACAAAAAACATGAACCGAACTTTTCGTGTCTATGTTTGTATGTATGTTCATGTGCTCTGTCATTACCAAATGTTGACCAAAACGAATACATTCAATTTTAATTTTTTATTCACTCAACCTTTAAGGTTTTTTCATGGCTTCCAAGTTGGTTTTCCGTGCGGTATTAGAAAGATGACAGCTTTTCTTCAGCAGACCTCGGAGCAGGGTCCGCCTTGGAACCGCACACGTTGGGGAAACGTCCTTGGGCCCACCAGCGTCTGCCAGCACCATGCAACATGGGATTGCATACATGGGTATAATAATATTATAAATGGAGCGAGGAACAATTAATGATTGATTTGCACGCCGCTGCGCTCACAGCTGCGGAGCGGTGAAAGTATCTAGTTCCTACAAATCCTTGACGAATAACGCAGCCTGCAATCTCTGCACACTAGCAATACGTCAATTGCGCACGTATACCTCGCACGCATACCTGCGTGGAAGACAGAACCCGTGCGTGTTCACCCCCACGGGTGGCAGAAACACTGAGCCGTGAAAATGTGGATTGTTGTGGAGCAGCGGCGACGGGCGACTGAGCTGTACACAGCGGCGCAATCTCACACGCCGACGCGCCGCAGCAACAGCAGCAGTGGGGCCCGCAACAGCAGCAGCTCTCTGCGACGAGTGACTGCGGCCTTGCTGCTGGTGGTAGCATACCTTGCGGCGATTGTGCCGCCCACTTTCGGTACATGTCCGCTGTACCCCCCCGCATTACCGAAACCAACCACCAACCACCCATCTGCGAACCACAACATGCAAATAATAAAACATTTCGTGGCACTCCCTTTGTGCTTTTGTACCCTGCCCGGTATATTTTACCCGACCCGATTCATCCACATATGTAATATATTCGCTACGGCTCCAGGAACGTTGTGCAGATGTAGCAAACGCAAAGTGGTTCAGCTCGCGGCTTGGATACGCGCACAAGTCTCAAATCATGCGCTACGACTCATGCAGTCGCGCATAAATCATGGGCTTGCTCGCCCTCCTCCCGCTATATCGTCCCCCTGGCCTTACACTAGCCCGATACCCTAACATCAACCGGCAACCCTCCACCACGCTCACTCCCCTCCTGCGTCACACACCCTCTCAGGCCAGCAACGCCTCGCTGCGGCCTTCTCTGCTTGGAGGATCCCCTTCCAGCAGCCCGCGCAGATGCAGCCGCCCCAGCAACCTCGTCCCCGTCCTGCATTGTCCACAGTGAAGCCTGGCGACCCCAGCCTGGCCTTGCCGTGTGGTTGCTCGGACGTGGACCCCCGGGATTCCTTCCTTCAAGCCAAGTGAGTCCGTGAAATATAAAAGCTACTAGTGTTGTCGTCATTGCCTGAGTAAGCTAGTGAAAATGATGATGCGTGAAAGTAATCTGTGTAATGACGTGCTGATGTTAATGATGATGACGAGTGAAATGGACAACAATAAACGTTCGATGCGCAGCCTGACGAAGGACTGCAGTCGTATGAGAGCTGCAAAACAGTATCGGCCTAAGTGCTGCAAGGGCACAGGGGACGAGAGCGCGCGCACGCGCGCACGCGAGAGCGAGAGCGAGAGCGAAAGAGATGGGGGTTGCAATCAGGGAGGGTGTAAAGCCACCACCCACGCCCCGAGAGCTCTCGGTCGCGGTTCCAGGGGCCTTATGATCCAAGTCTCTGCTATTCGAAACAGCTGTGTAATGCAATTCAGTTACGGGGGGGATTCAACAGCGGGATATTGAAACCAGAGAGTGGGAAGCGCCTCGTCAGCACTGTATCGCTCGTTTCGCTACCGAGGGGGTTTTCTCATGAGCTCATGGGCAATATATCGGTTAAAAAAACTGATGAATTGACGATTCGTCACTGTCCTCCTCTGACAATGGAGCTTTTTAGGGGTAGGGTTAGAAAGCGAAGGGGGGATGAGACCCGTCGTACACGTTCATGGTCTGTCGGCAACGCGGCCTGCTGCTCCCTGGAGCAATCAACTGCCTTACAACGTGCTACTTCATGCCGTACAGCAGGGGGCTGGGGCGGAGGTTATAACAGAAATACCTGTATGTAATTCAGTGGAGACATCGCTCGCGTGGGAGAGCTTTGTTCCACGAGCCCCTCCCGCCCACCCTTCCCATCCCCCCGGTCACAACCACCACAACCACCTTAACTTCCACAAACTACCACAGTGTGGCGTACTCGTGCTACGACCAGGCTCGCTTTGGCTCATGCAACCAGGCCTTCATGCTGGAAACACCCGAGGAGGTCCCCGAGGGCAGTGACGGGTTCCGGAGCTGTGTGGAAGAAGAGGGGAGGAGAGGGAAAGGGGGAAAGACGGGGAAAGGGAAGATGGGAACCGAGGCGGGCGGGTTGTGACACACGAGTGGGTCATTATTAATAAAGGTAATTAAGGGGCCTAAGGCTAGAAGCTCTTGGAACGACGTACACCAACACATGCCCGGCCCCCCCCCCCTTCCCGTGGTGTGGCATACCGGTTGTACTTGCATATGCCCGGTTCCTTTCCCCCCTCACGCGGCGAACCTTCCCACACAGGACGTGTCCTTTGTCCTTGTCCTTTTCTGGCTTGGGTTGCAACACAGCTATTCACTTCATATATGTATCACATGCCTGGACTGGACTTCCCTGTCTGGCACCCGAGCTGTCTGTACCGCCATCTCCCATCCATCTCCTGCCGTATAACACGTGTGCAGGTTACTGCCAAATTAGCTGCGGCCGTTGCCCCTGCTGTCCCACACTGGACGGCGTGCTCCGCGCCAAGGGCCTGGAGATGTTCAGGTGGGAGCCGTACATGTCATCCGTACGCTGTCCGTATATTATCCGTATCTAAGATGAATGCCAGGCGCTAAACCTCGAGCAATACATGGGGCCTTAGTGTGAGGGAGGGGGGAGGGGATGACAATGCTGCCATGGCCATTTTCGAGCCGCGAAGGGAGAGGAGCTGTGCAGCTCCATGGGTGAGGTGGGATGGGGTGGGGTTGGGTTTGGCGGCGCAGGACCAAAATACTAACTTCAGGTGACTGTAGCATCGACGCGTAGCGACATGACATTAGCTGCTTACTTCGACCTCGTCAGCTGCTTCGATTTACCCTTGTCTGCTGCTTGGATATGTGTACGCATGTGTGCTATAATAGCTGAGCATGCGTGTGTGTATGTGTGAATGTAATCTGATCTGCTGCGATCTGATATCCAGCTGATCTGATTTCATCTGACCTGCACTCCCACCCACCCACCCATCTCGACCAGATGGCTCCTGAGCTTCTCTGACGAGGGATCCAAAACCAAGATGCCCGGCTACATGGCGACACTGCTAGCCCCCACAGATGCCGCTGTGTGGACCGCGCTCAACAGGCTGGGTCAGTCTGTCTGTCAGTCTATCTGCCTGGCAGTGAAAGGGGGGGAGGGGACCCAGGAGAGCTGCATAGCTTGTAATACACCCTAACTCCCTCCCTCTTCCCTTGCTGTTATCTAATACTCCCCCCTACCCGTCCTTTCCCCCTACCCGTGAACCATCCCTCTTTCCCTCCCTCCCTTCACATGCAGTAATTATTCCCTTGCCAAAGGGAACACCAAACTTGACGGCCTTTGGGAAGGCATCAATCAGAAAGGGGGCATTCCCTTTAGGGGAACAGGAAGGGGTGACCACTATTGGAAACCCTTTTTGTTCCCCTAAAAAAGGACAGTCAACCGAAGGGGGGGAAATCATTCCCTTCAGGGATATCCTTTGGTTGTTCCCCCTTTTTGGGGCTCAGCTTTAATCCCATACGTGCGCACATCGAAGGCACTACATCTGCAACCAATTATGACTTTTCACAACGGCTGCTGTCTCTCTGCTCGCACGGCCTCGACGGTGTCACGCATGATGGTCCTCTAACGAACCCCAGCTCGCTCGCCCATTCGCTCGCTCACTCGCTCGCTCGCCCATTCGCTTGCTCACTCGCGCAGGTTACAGCAGCAAGGAGGCCGTGGAGGGAGATGGCTCGGCCAAGGCCATTCTATCGGATATCGGCCGCTATCACGTGCTGCACCCCGTGGAGCCGCTCAAGGTGAGGTGATGGGGAAGGAGGGGACAAAAGGAGGGGTTTCAGGGGTTCGGCATCGGATGATGAATAGGAATAAGTTGACGAAGGAGCCACGAGGATACTGAATAGCCGATGGTGATGTGAAGAGAACAGAAACATCCCCTAACCAGCGTTGCGATGGGATGTGTTATCATGATGCTGTAACAACCACACTGTAACAACCACACATGATGCGGCCCCCGGTGGCCCGACTGACTATTGGCCTCATACGGGGCCGCTGCACCACCACCAGCATCACTACCACCACTACCACCACCACCACTACCACCACTACCACCACTACCACCACTACCACCACTACCACCACTACCACCACAACCACCACAACCACCACAACCACCACCACAACCATCACCACAACCACCATTACCACTACCACCATCACCACTACCACCACCATCACCACCACCACCATCACCACCACTACCACCACTACCATCACCACTACCACCACTTCGACCACCACCACCACCACCACCACCACCATCACCACTACCACCATCACCACTACCACCACTTCGACCACCACCACTACCACCACTACCACCACCACCATCACCACCACGACCACCACCAAAATCATCAAAATCGCCACCACAGGCCACCTGGACGACCCCCTTCATGCGAGGAGATGTAGCCATGTATACCGCCGTATCGAATGGTAAGACAGTGTCCGCACGGCAGGATGCAAACAGCGGCAAGGTCACCGTATCGAGTCCCAAGAGCAGTGCTACTATCATCGAACGAGACCTGTATGCGTGCAAGGTGAGCGTGCATGCGAATAGGCAGGTCGGCGCAAGCACCTGAATTCGCGCTACGGAAATGTCAATCTATGAAGCCTAGTAAGGCAATCCCGCGTCCGGTCGATGGCAAGAGGATGTTGGGCAGACGCACGGCAGGGACGTGGCAGAGTTGTGAGACCGGGCATGTTGCTGTTGCAGCCGCCTTGCGCGGTGGAGCTCCAGAAGGCTGCAGTGACATAAGAAAACGGCTGCGGCAGCGGGCGGTGATAATGCACAGCGACTCGGAGGGCAATCAGTGAGCTGACTGGGCCTGTTACGCAATATCTTTGACCAAATCCTGGAACATTCGTGCCTGCCCGAGTACCGCTCCAAAACTCCAAAACCCTACCCAAGCCACTGCTTGGGGTTTCCATCTCCACACGTGCATAATAATTTCCTCAGTGACAGACACGTCGTGCTGTGCTGTGCTGTGCTGCGCTGTGCTGCGCTGTGCTGGAACACGCAGGGCTTTGTGCAAGTGGTGGATGCAGTGCTCGTTCCATGGGCTATGAAGGGCTACGCATGATGAAAATCATGTTGGTGGGACTTCCATGGCTAACAGCGGGAAATGACGGTGGGGGGTGTTTGTTCATTGCGCCCATGGACCGTGCGCTGCCGCTGCCCCGGTGGGGCCGTATGTCTGCCTGGCTTCAGGGATGATTCATGGGTGCAAATTCACTGGATGTGGTGGTGGTGGCTACTGAATTCTAGAAACCGAAAACCCGAAATAGGCCCTGACTTCATACAGAAGGCGGCGCATCTGCGTGAGGAGGATGGAGATGCCCCGAAGGAAGGTATAGGGCTAGTGGCCACGGGTGGTGGTATAACCCCCTACGTCACGCAGGTGGTGTACATACAGGTAGCATGTTGTGCTGGCGGATCGGTCTGGCTCGCTTTGGTTGTGTTCGGTTGGGACATCGCTTACAGCGAGGTGCACTTGCGTTGTGTTATGGGGCAAAGATAAACGGGGGAGACTCGGGTGGTGTGTATGGGGATTTGAACGGTGATATGTGAGGGGAAAGACGTGCGGTGCGTGGGGACGAGAGAGCTGGGGTTGTGCACGCGAGAGGTGACCGGGTGGTAAAGCTTTGAAACTGCTGGCCGGGAAATGCTAGGACACCGTTTTATGTGTTGACAGACGAGAAGACTTTTTCTTGAGGAATGGAAGTGTCAGAATGTGCACGAACGAATCTCGTTACGTAATACTGGATCACAACAGATCGTGGGTGTTTGCCTGGGTGTGTTTCTGCCAGCCCTGGGCCCTCAATTATACGACGCGACGTGCCTCCCACGAGAACCCCAGGATGTGCGTATCAGGCGATGCCGGCGGCGTAGTGAGCTGACCAGTCGCTATCACCGGATAGTATGATCCGTTCTGAGATTTGCAACTCTCCCGAGATCTTTGATAGTCCTTTGTAGCTGCGGCCTGGGAGCACCTTCACCACCGCCACCAAATGAACGAAAGGAGTATTCAGCTATACACCGTAACGGGCTAATGTTGGGCAGCACATCGTCAAAAATCATGACTAGATAGCGAAGATCGTTGGAAAAACTACATATTGACAACAATGAAGAGTAAAAGCATATGTATGTTCGGCGAATATCACAACGTCAGACATAATTTATCATGGTCGCCGCAATGTTGAGGTTTGGTCACTTGGTCGTACGCCCTAAGATTTAACTGCATTGTAGGATAAGCAAGGTTTGAGAGAATCGGCGAAATGGTTGGGGCTAAGTCCAGTGTCCATACTGCCTGCTGAAGTACGGCATTTTGAAAAAAAGGCGCGGTCAGCCAATTGATAAGGTGTTGGCTCTCGAGTCACTCGCTTTGCCCAAACGACTCATCAAACTGCACACAACAGTCCCGCATGCTAGCTGTTTCCATCGGTGCAGTATTGACCTTCGTCTGTTGACCAACCTTTTGTACAATGGAGGATTATTCCGAAGTCCGGGTGCAGCTCACTCGTAGGTTCTCAGACTTCCTTCAGTATGAATTTTCTACTCCAGGCCAGGGCTCCTGGAGCTATGCGCGTGCTCTGGAGGACCTTTACGAGCCAATAGCGGGGTCTGGCAAAGCCTACCGCATCAAGTCGCGGCGCCTGATGGTTGCCGAACACCACCTTCGAAAATATGATGAGCCTCTCCTTGTTCAATTACTACAAAAGCCACTCGAATGCTTGCCGGCGTTCGAGGACGCGTTACAGAATTTTGTGAAGAGCGGCGTTGACCCCGTTCTGCTGCGTCTTTTAGAAGAGACGGGTAACATGAACATTTCCATTGGTCTCAAAGGGGACTTTGGCCGTCACGAGGTCTCGCCGCGTCAGCTGACGTCTGCCTTTATCAACCAGCTGGTGTGCGTCTTTGGAATTGTTACAAAGTGCTCCCTTGTACGCCCTAAGCTGGTCACCTCGGTACATTACTCCGAAGGCACCAAGGAGTACATCACGCAGCAATACCGCGACGTCACTTCGCTGCGCGGTGCACCGACAGGCGCCTCCTATCCCCAGTTTGACTCGGCGGGAAACCCCCTCACGACGGAATTCGGCCTCTGCAAGTACATCGACAACCAGGTAATTGCAATCCAGCCGATGCTTCGTCCATGTGGGCACTGGGACGAGCGGATCTGGATGGGTTTGTACGATCTTAGACAATGTCCGTTTCCAGCAGCAATTGACGCGAGCTAGGTGCGGAACAGACTTCACCAACACCAATGCCGATCCGAATTAGAAGAGCTGGAGAGTACTTCAAACAGTTAATCGTAGGGTATGAGGAAAACACCTGAGCAGGTGGTGGGTTTTTTGAAAAGTATGCCGTCCTGGCGGAAGCCTTTTGGGTAGCTGAATGCATAAGGGGCACGGTCGTGGTCTTAGGGTCGCAGAGTGTTGCACAACTCTCAGGAAACGCTTGCCTCGGCACACATACAAACTGCCCAATCTCATTCTCCAACTCATAAGCCAGCCCATAACTGCGACCCAATACTATTTTTTTACCCGTTTTCCACTACCGATCCCCACATTACCGCCCCTTGGCTCTCTTCCTCTACCATCCCCAGACCATGCAAGTCCAGGAGCTCCCCGAGACCGCACCTCCCGGTCAGCTGCCTCACTCGACCGAAATTATTCTGGAGAGCGACCTGGTGGACGGAGCCAAGCCCGGAGACCGCGTATCGATAGTGGGCATCTACAAACCGCTGGCTGGAAAGCAGTCAGGAAGCGTCAACGCTGTTTACAAGGTAGAGAGTTGGTGTGTTCTGCTGATGATGGCATGTAGAAGGGTTGAAGTGTAAGGGTGGGGGTGAAGGACGTGGAGGTTAAGAAGCCGTTGACTTGCACTCTATGCTTATCGGCTCTTGGGCTTTATGCACTTCTGTAATGCGATGGCATCCTGTTCAGTCCACAGCATGGATGGTGAAGCAGAAACTACCGTTTTATAGCACGTTTTAAGCGTCTGTTCCCTGCTCCCCCCGTTCGTCTTGTTGCGGTACTCAAGGCCGTCCTTGTGGGAATTTCGGTGCACAAGCTGAACAAGGACAGTCAGACCAAGGTGACCATGGCTGACGCGCGCGAAATCAAGCGACTGGCTCAGCGGCCACGCGTGCTGGACCTCCTAGGGGCTTCCCTGGCGCCATCTATTTACGGACACGACATCATCAAGAAGGGCGAGTGAAGCTTGATCCTAATTTGCCCTAGGATAAATAATGCTGCGTTAATAATGCACGAATATATTATCAATGTTGTGGGTTGTTCACAAGATACAATCAGGAACCTGGGGATTTGGGGAAGCTGCCGCCTGTGGGATGTGCTGTGCTGACTGGCCTAGTTGCGACCCCAGGGGATTGGACTGAACTGATCGTCCAGCTTCCCTCCCTCAAACATACAAACAAACTTCTACCCGGGATTCTGGACTTTGGTCACTGATAGGTCTGGCGTTGATGCTATTTGGCGGGTTGGAGAAGACCCTGGAGAACGGCACACACCTCCGTGGTGACATCAACGCGCTCATGGTGAGTAGGATGGTCCGGGTCAAGCGGAGCAGGAAGGAGGAAGGGACCGACGATTGTTTAGGGGGATTGGGGAAGGGAAGGGCTGGCCGGGAATTGCCTCCCAAGTTGTGATGTTCGCTGGGGCCTATCCCTACAGAACTTAGTGCCCCCGCAATAACCCCATGTATTCATGTCTACATGGCTATAGTCTGTGCGTCACCCTTTTGCCGGTTTTCCAGCCGCTTCCCATTTCACTTTTTCCCACTGCCACTTTCATCGCTGCCTCCGTAGGTTGGTGACCCTGGTGTCGCCAAAAGCCAGCTGCTCCGCGCAGTCATGAATATCGCGCCTCACGCCGTGTCCACCACCGGTCGCGGTTCCTCAGGCGTGGGTCTCACTGCTGCCGTCACTACCGACGGCGAGACGGGTAGGCATGAGATGCCCGGTCATGAGTGTATTGACATATGTACTCCCAAGCTGTGTTATAATACCTAAGAAACCCACTTCAAATAATTGCCTTCAGGGGAGAAGCGTCTGGAGGCCGGCGCCATGGTGTTGGCGGATCGCGGTGTGGTGTGCATCGATGAGTTCGACAAGATGAGCGACCAAGATCGCGTCGCAATACACGAGGTGCGTGCGTCTGCGTGCATGGTCAAACGGTGGGTAAAAACAAAGGGATTTTGACGAAGGGTATGAACTTTTGATGTTTGATGCCCGTTCAAACATCTTGCAGACAACCACATATTAACGTTTTAACCGACTTTCAACACCTGGCCAACTTTGCCTCTATGGTCTCGCTCGGCACTCGCGTATGCACAGGTGATGGAGCAGCAAACGGTCACCATCGCCAAGGCCGGCATTCACACCTCGCTGAACGCAAGGTGCTCCGTGCTGGCGGCAGCCAATCCGCTGTATGGCTCCTACGACAGGCACATCAGCGTCACGCGCAACGTGAATCTACCCGACTCGCTGCTTTCCCGTTTCGACATGTTGTTTGTGGTGCTTGACTCTATGAACGATGAGCGGGACCGCCAGGTGCGGTTGGGCTGGGGGTTAATTTGGCTGGGCCTGTTGTCCTTGCCATGGTTGGCGCTAGGCTGGGGACATGGGTACTATATGCACCAACAAATCCAATATCACTCGACACGAAAGCACTCACTCGCCGTTCTTTCGTTTCTTTAGTTCCATCGACCAATACTCGTTTACTTCTTGCAACGCAGGTTGCGTTGCATGTGCTGCGCCAGCACCAATATCGCCCGCCTGGCGACGACGGCAGGGGCCCGACTATGCAGGAGACCATTCATGACCGGCGGCTCTCCATGGAGCAGGACCCGGACGACATCCGGATGTGGCTCAAGATTGACACACGATTGCACGGCGCTGCGGCTGAGGCGGAGCAGCAGGTAGTGCCGGTGACGCCCTGCTTCTCCGTATGTGTGTGCCTTGTGTAAATAACAAAGGGCCTAAGGGCATCCTAGGAGTCCTACCCTCTCAGGTACTACCCGCCCGGACGATTTTGTCCGCCATGCTGCCTCGTTCCCTTCATGTACTGCCCACTCACCACCCATTGCTGTACGCATTGCCTGGCCCGCCCACTACAGCGCAACCTCAAACCGCCTCCACTTACTATGGTCCGCGCGCAGGTTCTTACAACAGAGTTTCTGCGTAAGTACCTCATCTTTGCAAAGCGGAAGTACGCGCGTGCCGCCGCTCAGGCCGCCGCCAAGGGCGACTCTGCGCCCTCTCTGGCCATGGAAGAGTCCGCCGTGAAGCGCATTGTGGACTACTACGTGTCTTTGCGGGCGCTGCCACCGGGCCAGCGCAACTTCCCTGTCACGCCCCGTTGCCTCGAGACGATTATCCGGTTAGCCACGGCACACTGCAAGGTCCGGCTAGGTGATGTCATCAACCGGGCTGACGTCGCGATTGCATGCGCGCTGTTAGACCACGTGATGAGGCGGGAGATTGTGGGTGAGGACGACCACACGCGCAAGAGCGAGCGGGGGGCTGCTCACGGCGATGAGGATGACGGGGATGAGGACGGTGGTGACGGTGGCGACGTGGCGCAAGATGGCGAGATGGAGGACGCGGCGACTGCGGCTGCTCAGGGTACTGGGGCCTACGGCGTTGCGGCGGCGGAGCCTGAGTGAGTGCGGTGGTGCGCGATTCCTTTCCATGGCAGCTGAGGCCGCCTTATTCCGAGGGAGCATCTGATGGGTGCATAGCTTAAAAGACGCCGACAACCACCTCGCCTTCATTGGTGTTTAGCGGTGCCCAGCTATGACCAGCCATTTCCTAATCCTTATCGAGCTTTCCCGCTTCATGGTTCGTGCAGGAAAGGGACACGCGCTCGCGCTAACAAACGCGGACGTGAAGATGGGGGCGCAGAGCCAAGCGGGCAAGCGGATGCCGCCGCCGCTGGGGAACCTGTCCGACGGCGTGGGGGGCGGCCGCGGAACGGCGGCGGCGTGGCTAGCGAGGTGGCCAACACCTTGGCGGTGGTCGGTGTTCAAACAGTGCCGGACGGTCATGAGGAGGCCATGGCGGCTGCTGAAATAGCCGCATCCGGTAGCGAGGTGAGGTATAATCCGGCATGGCATGGATAGCACCTTCATGTCTTCTGTCTCTATTTTTCTATTATTGGCCAGGCTTGCCCTGCTTGCGTTGGCGGCTCCACCTTGTGTAACCATGTTGATGCTGGTTGTGGCCTTGTTTCACGTCAGCTCTCGTGCTTTGCGTTTTGGCTACTTGCACCCTACAGACCTACCCCACCCTGGAGTCCCTGACGATTGAGGCCAAGGCCAAGATTGTGGCGGAAATTGGGGCTATGTTGGAGCAGCGCGGCCGCGACGAGCTGGTGGAGGTGGCCGAGCTCAAGGTGCGAGTTCGGTTGAGGTGTATGTGTGTGTGTGCACTTTTCAATTAGATCACATGTGCACTTGTTTGTGTATGCCCTGTGCATGTATGTCCGCGTATGCTGAGGGTGGTATGGGCACGGGCTGAAGTGACGCGTTTAGGTGTTGTGTGGTGCATTTTTCAGCCTGTATGTCAGCTCTCCAAGCTTAAATCTCATGCAAGGCTGTTTAGACCCAATTTAAGCCTGGCGGATTACCAACTGGATTCTTTATTGAGTCTGTCTCCCCTTCTTCCCTGATTATGACCGGGATACGTACCCTTTGTTCGCCAACCCATGTTTACACATTTGCAGCGCATCCTCGTGTCCAAGGGCTTGTCCATCTCCACAGCCGCCCTGGCGGGTTACGTCAAATGGATTTCCCACAATCACGATTTGGAGCTGGCCAAGGGCAATTACCTGCCAGATGTAGCATACGACGAGGATAGCCACATGTTCAGCTTCATGTAAACTATGCAACTCCTATGCGGATGGATGGGCAGGCAGACGGTTTCGGTTATCCTCGGTTATCCTCGAGCGCCATGACGCATCTCGTCATTGTCAACTCCCAAAGCAGTATTGACTCACAGGCGCTTAACCAGGCAACAAATCCGTTGAACCGACCGCGTAAGACCGTCATAGGATTGGCGCAACCGAACCGAGGATAACAACAATATATATCTGTCGGGCGGATGGCCCATCGGTCCGCAGGTGATTTTTTTACTCGTTTATTGTTTAGTTTATTGTCTAGTTGCTGGGACCAGACCAGATTTCGGTACGGGGTTTCGAGTAATGCATGAACGTGACCCATTGATAAGGGGTTCGCGTGGTTGGGGAAGTATGTACGGGTAGAGATTGCCTTCTGGCCCATGTCGTCGGAAGCCGCCGTAGTTCTGGGCGTCGCTCTCTTGAGCGGCCTTAAGGCGTCATTTATGGCAAACGACGACTTCGTGGGTCCTTGACTTTTTGGCGTCTTGCTGCGTCCAAGAACTGGAGTTCTGCAATTACAGCATCATTACACGAGCACATGTGCATACTCGGTAAAATTGTCCTGTTGAGGGATCCTGCCACTTCCTGGCCCACGTACAGAATCAAAACCTACACAGTAGTTGAAAATTTTCATAAGTTCCTTCAACTACCGCGATTCTGGATGCCTGCCTGAGAGTTTCCGGGCCGACCCCGCCATTGGTCGAAAATGCTCGATAAAAGAGTTGAAATTGGCACGGGGTCTACACCTGGGACAGGCCCTTGAATTGGCCTGACAGGGACACGAATTCGCCTGGCAGGGACATTCCGACAGTCAGGATTAGCCTGTTCGGGGTGTCGAATTGGCCTGGCAGGGACATTCGGACAGTCAGAATTGGCCTAGCTCGACACACTTCCCAAAAGCCCGCAGCACTTCCGGTGCTGTCTGTGATGTTTATCCCCGAAGCGCCAGCGGCTTCAGCAATTGGCCCAACAGTCGCCGCGGCACACTGCCATTGGCCAAAGTATTTGTACAAACGAGCAGCTTGCGTACTTCATAGAGAAATGAAAGCAAACTTGTCGGCCTGTTGGTGGAAAGTCGGAATGCCCGTGCGGGCAAATTATAACACAAGCTGGGTGTTCGAGTTATCATACGCCGTAATCTCAGAATTGAGATACGCGGCACCTTTTGAGATTTAATTTAGCCCGAGAGGCGTTGATGTAACTTTGAGCACAGTCACTAGAGTCAGCCTAACTTGTTTGCGCTCATACGATCTTTGTTGGTTACAGGCGAGATACCTTGCAATAGAGAATTGCTCCCCCCCTCGAGCAAACGTCCTCGGGCGCCCCCTGGGATTTTTGGTTATTTGTGATCCCGTAGGTTGTGTATATGTTTGAAATTGTGGCATTTCGTCAGTCCCCATCCGAGGTGGAGGCCTTTGTCTATATTCAGCTGGTAGACTTCTCGCCCGCCCGGGTATCCACCTTTGGAGTAAGAGTATGCTGCATCATACCTGGGGTGCGCTATATTCGCATCCGGGCAGCGCGGAGTACGGTGCCGACGGAGACGACAGCGATGGAGAAGGGACTGCAGCTGCCGAGCAGGGTGCTGACGTCAGTGAATATGTCGGTGGCAACGCACGAGGCGGAGAAGGAGGGGCCAGCGGCAGCAGGGGCCCCGGAGGTGGCACCTCGGGAGTGGCAGCAGCAGCTACGACTGCAGCAGCCGGGAAGGGGTGTGTACGGGGCTCCAAGATGGCGGCCGCAGGGTCTGCAGCTATGGCCCTTGCAGGGGCAGCAAACCCAACGGCAGCTATTGCACCAGCGACCACCTCGTGGGCGCGTGGTGTGCGGGCATCGCTATCCCCATCTGCGGCCTGCAGGGCAGGGCCGGCAGCGATAGCGCCCTCAGTAGGGGCTAACCCGACCGCCAGAGCCCCTCCTCCACCACCTCCCGAGTCAATCCCGCCCGGTCACGAGCTGGCGCTCATTGGGAACAATAAAAGTAAGATACCACCCGAGGCCACACTCAGCGCTGCGAAGGCAAAGCCCCCGAAACAGCTGCGAACCGAGGGCACTATTGGACTCATGTACACGGCTTCACCAGGCACTCTGGAACGAGCGAGCTACAGACCGCCAGCCGGACGCGATCCACGAGTGCAAGGGTTGGATAGCAGGGCCGTGGACGCGGAAGGGTTCCGACTCGTGGCGGGAGGTACACGAAACGGGCAGGTGGGCCAAGGAGGAAGCGGCAGTGGGGGAAGGGATGACAGGGCCCGTGACCAACTGGCGGGTAACAGGGCAAACCGCTTCGCAAACCTCCCTAACGCTGACGACATGGACGACACCTAGGGGCACGCAAGCCGAGGGCTACGGATTTTACTGTGGAATGTTCATGGGCTATTGGAGGCGGGACTTTTCAAGCTCAACCGAGCAGGAATTAGGTCGTTCGTCACGAGTCATGATATTGTTGTTATAGCTGAGGCACATTTGAAAGACACTATTGAGGAGAAAGACATAGCTTTGGAAGGGTTCCGTATTTTTCGGGTGGAGAGGTCAAAGGAAGCCCTGAGGGCCGATTATGGGGGCGTCGCACTCTATGTACGGGAGTCATTCACGCGGGGTATTACGGTAGTGCACAAGGACAACCAGCTGCCAGGGTGCGGGGTCATTTGGGCACGCATTAGCCTTTCCACAGATAGTAGTCTCCTGATGGGAGCCTGCTACCTCGCACCAGAGACGTCCAGGGTCTACCCGGATGATGGAGGCACCGTATCACAGCGCACTGCAGCAGCAGAAGCAGCTTTTACCAGGATCCAACAGTCACTAACAAAACTCAGGCTTGGCGATGAGGACGTACTGATAGCCGGGGAACCTAAAGCACGTCTGTCTGGAGCACAGCATGAGTGGAACCGTGCTACCCCGATGGACCTACCCACTTACGTGAACGACATCCCGGATTTAGAGCAGTTGCAGGCTGTACGCGAGGTCATGGGTTTTGAAGGACTGAGGGACTACCAGAACTATGATGGACTCGGAACTCGAAATTGCCAGGACCAAGTTTGCAATTTCTTTGGTGCCCAGCTTGGGGCGCTCTGCAGATCCGAAGGGCTGCTCGTGATGAACGGCCGGATGAGAGGGGACCTTGAAGGCCGCCTAACTTTCCCTTAAGGGGAGGCAGGCGGTAGTATGGTCGATTTGTTCATAGCGACTCCGCGTGTGCTTCAGCAGTACGCCACCTTTCTGAGGGTGGGAAACTGATCGAGTTGGATGGATGGGAGCCCACCGACCACCGTCCTTTGACGCTTGTTCTTAATGTATTTTGAGGGGGGGTCCCCTACCATGAATGCCTTAAGCCAAGTGGCCGAGGATCTGCAGAGGGGAGTTTGCAACACCACACAAGCTGTCGAACGCATTGGAGGTGCCCTGTACAAAGTCCTGGCGAGGGCCTTCGATACCCACGGTCTTACCGGCATGACGGCAGGTGGGGATACTGTTTGGTGGAACCGGGAATGTCAGCAAACGCGGCAGCGCATGTTGGAGTGTAGGGCCGAGCTGGGTCCAGGCCGGGTGAGTAATAAATCGGGTCCGGAATGGGAGGCTTTCTGCCATGCGCGGACAGATTACAACCGGGCAAAAAGACATGCAAAGGCGGCATATGAGGAGGACAGGATGAGAGATTTTGTGGTCAAATGTCGGCATGACCAACGAGCTTTGTGGCGGGCTTTAGGAGGGAGGTTGAGGGAGCGATGTGCGATAGATGATACTGAGGTCTTCAGGGAACACTTTGCTGTGCTATTAAACGCAGGTGTTGGGGAGACGGAGCCTGATGGTGCGAACCGGCTTTTGAACTTCATTAACTTTGGGCAGCTCCTAGAGGGGCAGGAATGGCGGTCATCCCACTCGGTTTTGGGCAGGACTGCGAAGGCAGCAGAAATCCTAGACCCTCCCCTCACGCTGGAGGAAGTTGCACGTGCTGTTGACCGGCTGCCCAACAGTAAGGCATCAGGTTTGGAAGTAGCGCCGTCAGAATGTTACCGCTATGCGCGTTTGCCTCGAGAAGAAGAAGGCTCCGCGTCGGGTAATGGTAGGGGCAGGCGACGGGGGCAAGTGAATCAGCTTGTTCTGGTACTGCACGTGCTTTTGGAACATATCAGCAACCGGGGCATAGCAGTAGGCGGCGCCTTGGCGAAATGTTACGCGCTGGTCCTCCTGGTTAGGCTCGTTCGCACGGGGGAGACGCTCTCACTTAGACACTGAGGCCAAGCGGGTTTCAGAAGAGGATTCGGTACTACACATCATCTCTTTGCCAAGCAGTACCTTACTGCTAGGCATAGCCAACCGGGACAGCGGCCGTTAATCATTGTGCAAATTGACTTTGAGAAGGCGTTTGACAAGGTGCCGCGGGAGATAATGTGGCTTCGTTTGCAAGAGAGAGGGGTTGAAGGGTCCATGCTGCAGTCGCAGATGCGGGCGTATGACAAGGTTACAATGGTCATCAAGACGAATGGCAAGGCTGGAGGTGAATTTGAATCAAAACAGGGTGTGAAACAAGGCTGTCCATTATCAACCGAGCTGTTTGGACTCTACATTGAAACTCTCGTGGACGTCATCGATATGCACGACGGTGTTGACATGGGGGCACGGCCAGAGGATGCACCGGAGGTTGGAAATGAGTGAGTGTCCATCCTCCTCTATGCGATGACGTTAGCCTTCTGGCAACAACACCGGGACGCATGGGGGAGCTGCTCAACATTGTGGACATGTTCTGTGATGATTTTGGGATGCGTCCAAATGTGTCGAAATGTGAACGCCTCGTTTTTGCAAGCGACAGCGACATTAGAAGTGCTGTCCAAGCATCGTGTGATGAGCTCAGGCTGGCTGGAGAGGCCATACCGGTTAAGGATAGTGCACGATATCTGGTGTTAGTGTATGGGCCGGAACGGCAGTCCTGGGCCTGCCGTCAGCAGTTGTACGACACAGCTAGAGCAGGTATGTTCGCGTTGAGTGCAAAATTAGATAAGCTAAAGTTGTTCGCCCCAGATGTGAGGATGAGGTGTTTCGATACGCAGGTACGAGCAATACTGTTGTATGGTTGTCAAGCGTGGGGGCCGTTTATGCTAGCTGAGGTCTTGGACAGGCTCAGGAGGCGGAGTGATGCGAGTAACCTTGCAGAGGGGCCCTTCGAGGAATGCCTAATGGACAGAGCGGTGCAGCTTCAGATATCTTTCATGCGGCAAATTGTAGGAGCTGCCAGACCAACACACTGCCTCCTGTTTGCAGAGCTGTCGCAGCTACCCCTCCAATACCACGTTTTCAAGCAGGTTGTGAGGTTTTTGGAACCGTGTCCGTTTACAGCGTGGGTCTGTGGCACACCAAGTATTGCGACAGGAGGTCGCAGAGTCCCTCTCCAACCCCGAAGGGGCCGGATGGGGGACACTACTCCTCCGTTTTCTATATTTTCTGGGGCACGACGTATAGAAGGAGTCCCCGCAAGGGCTACACGAGGTAGACGAACGAGTGGAGTGGCTGATGAACAGGCCAATGCCAGAAGGTGTGGTTTTGGAGTTCAA